CTTTGTAAAAACAGAGAGGAGAATAGAAGTTATAAGGAGCTGGAGATAGGGAAATTGGGGAGAAATTGTCTTAAGGGTAAAAACTTATGACCAGTAGGTAAGTTCTAGAGAGTTAATACACAACATAGTGATTGTAGTCAACTCTATTGTATTGTATATTGTATGTACTGTATACATACTATTGTGTGTATTTATACAATATTGTATAAATTTCAACATTACTAAGAAACTAAATCTTAACTGTTCTCAAAGTTGTATTATAAGTTTCAACATTACTAAGAAACTAAATCTTAACTGTTCTCAATGCACACAAAAAGTGATAAATATGTAACATGGAAGAAGAGTTAGCTAATACTACTAGAGTAATCCTATTGCAATACACAAATTACCAAGCCCACACACCGTGCACCTTACATTTACAGTGCTATGTGTCAATTATATCTCAATTTAAATATATGAAAAGATAGCTGCAGTGGGAAGTCACACACTGGGCCCCACTGTGCACTGGATGGGCCTTAACCTTCATACTATCATCTGGCTCCCATAGCATGCGCACGCTCACACACACACACACACACACAGACGCACACACACACACAGACACACACAGTTCCCTGACATTTCAGGTTGTGTTCAGAGTTTCTTGGCGGTTTGCATTCTTAGAACATCACTATTCTTCCTCTGTTCAAAGTATGTTCTGGTTTAAGTGTGGCTTCTTGACAATCAGCTTGCTCTTTGTCTCACTAAACCCCATGTGTGGGCCTACGACACACTGTAGATGCTAACAGAGTGGCAAGGAATGGTGGTAGACCACACGTCACGGGTGTCTCCCCTGCCCTACTGGAGTTACTAAAACATACCAAGATAAAATTACTAAGGCTTTCAGCAGAGCACTGGCAGGCCCCCGAGCTGAGCTCAGGGCCTTGTGAACGTGGAGCCCTGTGCAGTAGGGCTCCGCCCTGGTCATCAGCGAGTCACTGGCACGTAAACCCACAGGACTGGGAGAGATCACCCGTGAGGAAGTAGAAGGAACAAGTGGTCTCAGACATAAGCACCGTGTTGGTTCAACGTTCTGAGATTGATCTGAGGAGACAGTCTGTAAGGGAGAGACTGAGAAAGCCAGCCAGGGGGGTCGGAGGTCATGGCATGAACTCCCTGGCCATGATGCTCTCATGGTATGTTCTGGACTCTTGTCCAGTGACAGAACAAACAGAACAACACGATGTGTGAAGGTCTCACTACTGAGATTCTGGTATAACTACCAGTACTGTGGGGTGGGTGGGAAGAGGCGAGTCATTTAATTGAGGTGGACTGGGATATTAGTGCTCTCACGGAGAAGTATAGTAACATTCAAGTTTTTTTTTTTTTCTTTGCTGTTGTTTTTTAATTGAAGTGCAGTTGATTTACAATATGGTGTTAGTTTTAAGTATACAGCAAAGTGATGCAAAATAATTCAATTATAAATAACTGAATTATTTATAAATATATGTAATTTTTCTTTCAGCTTATTTTTCATTGTAGTTTATTAAAAGAGTTCAAATATTGCTCCCTGTGTTATCCAGTAAACACTTGCCAATCTGTTTTATGTATAGTAGTGTAATCTGTTAATCTCATACTCCTAACCTATCCCTCACACTCCTTTCCCCTTTGGAAACCAGAAGTATGTTTTCTACAACTTTTTGTATTATTTTTTAGATTCTACATTTAATATCATATAGTATTTATCTTACTTCATTTAGTATGATAATCTCTAGGTCCATCCATGTTGCTGCAAACGGTAACTCTTCATACTTTTTTAGCTCAATATTCCATTGTGAGTGTATATATATATGTGTGTGTGTATGTATATATATATATATGTACCTCTTCTTTACCTGTTCACCTATTGACAGGTTGCTTCCATGTCTTGGCTGTTATAAACAGTGCTGCTATGAGCATTGGAATGCACATATCTTTTTAAATTAGAGTTTTCATTTTTTCCAGATATATGCCCAGGAGTGTGATTTCTGATCATAGGGTAACCCTATTTTTAGTTTTTAAAGGAACCTCCATAGTGGCTGCACCAATTTACATTCTTCACCAACAGTGCAGGAGGGCTCCCATTCTCCATGCCCTGAAATCAGCACTTATTTGTAGACATTTTGATGACTAGCAATCCTGGCAGGTGTGAGGTGATACCTCATTGTGGCTTTGAATTGCATTTGAAAGCAAATTTTAAATAGACTTCAGGTTGAGAGAGATGCTCTCAAGGAAATTCTGGTTAGGGGCCTCTATTTGGGACAATTTCTACTGTGCTGTGGCAGCAGATGTATGTGTGTGGTTTTTTTTTTTTCCCTTGAGGTGAGAAGACAAACTCTACCTGGTAGGTGATGGCAGCTGCTTACAGCAGTAAGCCTGCCGAGTGGCCAGAACCCTGGATGTCCCTAGAGTATATTTTGGAATTTAATTTCTCACCTCACCCAAAAAGAAGAGTTACAATTGTCCCAGAATACCAATTTGGCTTTCTTTTCACAGTTGGGCCTGGTACCCTGCACCCAGCCCCACGCCTGGCTCGGCTCCTGCATCACTTGTCGGACTCCTCTCCTTCCTCTGGAGTGGCGTGGACTGGTCGGCCCTCATCAATCATGCCAGAAACCCTGGAAATGTGCACCACCTTATCTTCTCTTGACTGCAGAGAGCAGGGCTGGTGGAGGTGTGTCTGCTCGGGGCGTGCAGGCCTGTCACAGGGCGGCGACAACAGCGCAGGTGAAGCTGGAGATCTTGGTGCCCTCAGGTGAACACGGGCTGGAAGGGGTGGCTTGGGTGGATGTTGCTGTGAAAGCAGCTTGGGGCTCACATGGTGTAGAAAGACAAGTGTTTCCTGGCTTTAGACAGTGAGGTGCTTAGGATCTCTTAAAATAAGCATTACTGAGGTACAACTTGTAGGTCATAAAATACAACACTATGTTTTTTAGTACATGAATTGTAAACTTAGTAGCTGTTCAAGTTTTGAAACATTTGTCATCATTGAATAACATCCCTTCAGTGTTCCTTTCCTGTCAATTCCCATTTTCTTACCAAGCCCCTGGCAGCCTCTGAATTGCTTTCTGCTGAAGATTTATCTTCTCTGACAAATGGAAACTTACATGTGATCTTCTGTGTCTGGTTTCTTTCACTTAGCATATTTTTGAGGTTCATCTTTATTGTTTCAGTGTAAGTGGTTCTTTTTTAGTGAAGATGGTCCAAGGAATTCCAGACGGGGTTTGTACAAAGCTGTATAGGAATAAGAGACCACTCTCACTGACCTAGGGAAGTTCTGTGCTAACAAAACAGATAAAGAACATGGTAAGACTGGTCCTGATGTCTCAAGGACAGTGGTGATGATGATCAAAGCTGAGAAGTTAAAGAAATAGCTAAATTCTAGTTAAATTCTGTGGTCCATTCAGATGTTACTTGACCTGTTTGAGCTTATTTGTGTTTACATCTGCCCTGTTCACACTCCACAGAGTTTTAGAATGGCAATACTGGAATGCTGTAATAACTTCCATTTTAGAAAAGTTAGACACCTTATTTGGGGAGGTATCTGGTAAAAGTGAACCAGGAAAGAATCAGGGCTCCTTGGAGAAATGGCTTACTGCAGGGCTGGGGCACATAAAGTACAAGCTGAGCCTGGATCATCTTGTGCCAGAAGTAAGAAAGGCTCAAGAACATTTGAGTCATATCAGGGACACAGGCACCAGACTGGGGACAGGTCAGTCCTGGGCAACCTTACCATCACAGTAAGTGATGACAGGAATGCACTGTACAATAAAATAAGTGCTCATACTAATATAAATAAATGAATAATTAATGGAGAAAGTACAACTGCAGAAAGAATTAAAAAAAAATCATCATTTGCCTTTCACCATAGTAATACTTGATTCAGGCAATGAAAAGCAACATATGCTAAAACCGATGGGTAAAAGTGTGTTAAAGAACAAGATATTAACATGGTTTCAAGGCATCTCCACATAAAATTCTTATAAATTGCTCACTGATTTGTAAGTTTCAAATACAAATTAACTTCAGAGTTTGAAGTTTTTCCAGTAGTCATGTATGTATGTTGAGTGTTGGACCATAGAGAAAGCTGAGCGTTGAAGAAGTGATGCTTTTGAACTGTGGTTGTTGGAGAAGACTCTTGAGAGTGCCTTGGACAGCAAGGAGATCCAACCAGTCAATCCTAAAGGAAATCAGTCCTGAATACTCACTGGAAGGACTGATGCTGAAGCTGAAGCTCCAATACTTTGGCCACTTAATGTGAAGAACTGACTCACTGAAAAAGACCCTGATGCTGGCAAAGATTGAAGGCAGGTGGAGTAGGGGACACCAGAGGATGAGATGGTAGGATAGCATTACCAACACAATGAGCAAGCTCTGTGAGTTGGTGATGGACAGGGAAGCCTGGTGTGCTGCAGTCCATGGGGTCACAAAGAGGCGGACGTGAATGAGCGACTGAACTGAAGAGCTTGAAAAAAGCTGGAAAACGTATTTTTACCAAGTGATGAAAGTTACCAAGACCAGGCATAGGACAAATTCATATCATGTGTTCTCTGATAAGGTCATGAGAAGTATACAGTATTTATTTTTTTGACGTGTTCCTACCAAAAACAGCACAACTTGAGGAAAATTAAACAAACTCAAACTATGGGATTTTCTATAAAGTAACTGCTTTATACTTTGAGACTACTATTTTTTTTTAAACTAGTTCACACTTTATATGAATTTCTTTCATTTTTAGCTGTACCAGGATCCCATCCAGGTGGTATGCATTCTTTATGGTGAAGTGTTAACATATCAAATTATTCATTTCAGAAATCTGGTATATTTTCCATATTTAATTATAGAAAATTCACGTTTTTGAAATTTACCTGCCTTCCCCCCACACACAAAAAATCCCAAGAGTCTCAATTCTTTACTTTTTTTTTGGTATCCAAAATGTGTTTTTTGGGATGGTTTTCCATTCATCTTGATACAGGGTACTTTTAGTGCTGCTTCTGCCTGAAGGAGCACCCTTCTGAAAGCCTTGCTTTTCCTCCTGCAGGCTGGCAGAGGACAGTTGAGCAGCCAACACACAAAACGACTGTGTTGTACATGGCTAAAGATTGTGGTGATTTTATAGCATCCTGGGCATCTCACATCCATGAAATAGGAGTTAGGACTCTGCACCAGGCACTTCTTCTTGTGTTTCCTCTTCTCTTCTGGAGAGAGATGGAGATCCTCTGCCAGAGGCATGTTCTCGTGGGGAGCTCGTCACCATAGGAAAGGCAATTCTTTAAAAAAAACAAAACAAAACTGTAATGTTAGGTCTATGTGCAAAAATATAAAGGATATTGTGATTGTAGGTTAATAATTGCATGTTAAGATTTATTTTGCCTTCATGTTTTTATTGACTGATTTCCTATTTCAGTTCAGTCGCTCAGTCATGTCTCTTTGCGACCCTGGGGACTGCAGCATGCCAGGTTTCCCTGTCCATCACCAACTGCCAGATCTTGCTCAAACTCATGTCCATTGAATTGGTGATGCCATCCAACCATCTCATCCTCTGTCGTCCCCTTCTCCTCCTGCCTTCAATCTTTCCCAGCATCAGAGTCTTTTCAAATGAGTCAGTTTTTCACATCAGGTGGCCAAAGTATTGGAACTTCAGCTTCAGCATCATCCTTCCAAAGAATATTCAGGACTGATTTCCTTTAGGATTGACAGATTTCCTATTTCAAGGCAAGTATGAATGTGGCATGATGACACGATTCAGTTTCTTATAAATTTAATTTATTGACTACTGCCTGTACCTTTGGTAATTCTGTTCAAAAAAAGAAAAATAAGGAACAGGCCTTGTTTGTGGGGATTCAAGTCTAATGGACCACATATACACACATGCACACAACAGAGGTCAGTACTATCACCACTGTCTCCGTGAGAAATGAAGGCCAGGAGATTCTGATGGTTAAGACCGTGATCACTGAAATGAGGAACTCAACTTCAGGCCCTAACTCTACTCTCACTCTGCAGCCTTACCATGGGCAGGTGAGTTCACTTCCCTTAAAGTTCTGTAAATGGGGAAGGAATTCTACCTCAGGACTGTTATACAGAATAGTGATATATAAGGCATATGAAGCAATTAATATAATTCTGATATGTAATAGTAGGTTTTCACAAATTATGCTGTGATTATAATAAATACCCACCTGAAAACCTTATAATACAAATGAGCTGGGAACATCTAACCCTAGTATACGGACAGTAAAAAAAATCAGATAATATGAACCCCTTATTTAGGGATGTGAACTACACTTTACTTCTTTCTGATAGCCCCACTCACAGTGGCTGCCATCCACATTTTCTCTCCCTAATTCAGAAATCTCACTCTGAAACTAGAATACACTCCTACTTCTAAATTAAAGCATGTGTCCTCACAAACACTTTCTTCAAACTCAAAGAAAGCATTGTGCTTGAAACACGGTAAACCTTGCCAAAAATCTGAATGGCGATGATAATAAAGGAAAATACAGACTACATGATACATGATAAAAAAATGGTATTTGGGGGAAAGAGTACGAGCAAAGAGGTTGCTTTGAGCAGTAGAAATGGAGACTGATGAACCCCACCCACAGCCAAAATACATTCTGTGAAACCAGTCACTATCCTTCCTTAGTCAATATCTGTCTTTGTTTCTAGAAAGCTCTCTCTCTCTCTCATAATCCCTATAAAGTTTGCACAGAATACAAGGTCACTCATAATCAACCCACCTTACTAGTTGTGTTTACCACTATACAGTTTCATACTAGTTCAAAAACATTTATAAAGCATGTGATATAAATATACATATTACTATCTATGCAAAATGTTATGGAGTTTATAAAGATGATTAAGATGATACAGTTTGACCTACAGTTAATTCAAAAAGAGGTCAGCAAATTATGGCCTGAAGGTCACATATGGCCATAACATTTGGTTACATGCTGTCTGTGATTGTTTTACTCATACAACAGAGTATGAATTATGACCAAGATGATATGCTTTTCAAAACTGAAGATATTTACTGTCTTGGCCCTTTACAGAAAATGTTTGCCAACCTCTGTAACAGGAGATGCAACTACAATAAAAATACCTTACTGTACTGTCAATTAAAAAGCTACAAATAAAGAATTAAAAGAGTTCAGAAAGTTGGAGTGGTCACTTTTAGCAGTGCCATTTTGAGGAAACTTTAGAAGGAGGTACCAATAGCAATAGGACGAGAAGAATAAGAATGCAGATTGGTTATAAACTTCTAGGCAACAAAAAATGATGAAAATATATGAAGCAAAGAAAAAGTCAGAGAGAGAGTGGAGCTTGCCATTACATTAGGCATTATTTGCTAATGATAATTTTCAGAGGCATTTTCTTCCTTACCATTTTTTCTAATCTGCATGTATGTTTTATACAGTCACATTCCATGTGCCTCCAAGATTATCTCTTAATTATACACTTGCTTTCCAGCTGGTAACCCCATTCTAATGCAGTAAACTCAGAGATATGAATTTGGTAACATTATAATGATATTTTCTGAAGCTCTGCCTTAATACAACCTTAATTCTTTTTCTATCATTTGATATTAAATATTTATTCAGCATCAAAAGAGATACTGTATAGCTTCCAAAACAAAATCATATGACTTTACAACACATTTGCCAAGATTGTTACTGTTCTGCTCTTCTCATTTGTGTGTGTTTCTTTTTGCTAAAGTTCTATTAGGCTAAAAAAGCTAGATGGACCAGTAGGATTTCTAGTCTTAGAACACTAAAAATTATTTTGCTTTAACCAGAAAGGGTAGATTACATTAACAGGTCTAGGAGAGTTACTTTTAAAAGCTCTTGAAAACTAAGTTTTCATAAAAAATTTATTGCACAAAGACAATTTATGCTTACATGTAAAAATATCTTAGTTTCAATAGGAAAAACTGCTGCCACATTACCTTTTGGCCAAGTATTCGGATAGTTACATTTTTATAACCTGTTTTATGTATGTACAACCTAGGAGAAATGTGAACTACAAAACAAACAAACAAAATTCCCAGTATTTGTAAGTAAGAAAAAATGGCTGTCTTATTTGAAATAGATATAATTCTCAAAGTATGAAAGAATAGGCCATAACATGTAAAACTTGAAGTATTATAGATCAGGCCAAAAAAAAAAAATCTAGGGGGAGGAGGAACAACAGAGAAAGGGAACAAGGGATGGAGCGACAAAGCAAACAAGCACAGATGAGACAGCCCGAATCCATACAACTGCTCCGCTGACATGAAGAGATAAAGGAAAAATGGGCTTTCAGAGTTGAAGACTAAAATGTTTTACTATTTCAACATAAAATTCCTTGAGAACACTCATAATATGTACATGGTTCTAGAACAAGATTCTTATTTCTTAGCTTATTAACAATGTGTACATTTGAAAATACATATATACAATACTTCAAACAAACCATTCAAGATTGCATTTAAGCAATGACATCCACGGAAACAAAATTCAGGCACTGTGAAACACTTGGGATATATGGTATCTTCAAGACTAAATGTTCTCTTCCTTGTTTGACAGTCTTAAGTCTTCATTACACACATGTTGTTTTTAAAGTTGTTTTCTTACAGTGACAATCACCTTGATGGGCCAAACCCAGTTTCATTTTCTCCAGTACTACAAAAAAAACAACAACAACAAAAAGAAAATAAGCTTCTCTGTTCACAAAGAATAGAAACAACAGTTTATAGTCAAAACACTTAGAATAGGACAAACATGTAATTCTTTAATAGAAAAAGACAAACAACAACAACAACACAAACTTCAGGTAATTCCAGTTTATATGAGCAAATATTTGGGGGAAGCAATGTTTGCTAACTGTAAGCTCAAGATGACTTCATTATTAAATATCAGACAAATCTAGAAGTAGGAAGGCAAAAATTCCACTGAATTCTGCAGTGATAGATGATTAATATTCTGAGTAATAAGCTTAGTTCTTGGTGCAAAATTTTTAGAGACTGTGAAAATTGTTAATTTTTTCCACACACTGTGATGCCAATGCACAATACAGAGTACAGGAATGGTCTGGAAAAAAAATCAAAGGAAGCAGGGCTGAAAGAATAACAAAGACCCAGTAAAGAATTGTTTTGGGGACATTAACAAAGATGTCTGGGGCCATTAATGTAACATTAATATATTAACAACGATGATGCTGTTAAAGTGCTGCACTCAATATGCTAGTAAACTTGGAATACTCAGCAATGGTCATAAGACTGGAAAAGGCCAGTTTTCATTTCAATCCCCAAGAAGGGCAATCCAAAGAATGTTCAAACTACTGCACAATTATGCTCATTTGACATGCTAACAAGGTAATCCTCAAAATCCTTCCAGCTAGGGTTCAACAGTACATGAACCAAGAATTTCCATGTACAAACTGGATTTAGAAAAGACAGAGAAACCAGAGATCAAATTGCCAACATCCACTGATTCATAGAAAAACCAAGACAATTCCAGAAAAACATCTACTTCTGCTTCATCGACTGCACTAAAGTCTTTGACTGTGTGGATCACACAAACAGTGGAAAATTCTTAAAGAGATAAGAACACCAGACCACCTGACTTGCCTCCTTGAGAAACCTGTGTGGAGGTCAAAAAGCAACAGTTAGAACTGGACAAGGAACAACAGACTGGTTCCAAATTGGGAAGGAGTTCATCAAGTCTGTATATTGTCACCCTGCTTATTTAACTTCTGTGCAGAGTACATCATGTGAAATGCTGGGCTGGATGAAGCACAAGCTGGAAATCAAGATTGCCAGGAGAAATATCAATAACCTCAGATATGCAGATGATACCACACTCTAATGGCAGAAAGTGAAGAGGAACTAAAAGAGCCTCTTGATGAAGGTGAAAAAGAGTGAAAAAACTGGCTTAAAAACTCAACATTCAAAAAATGAAGATCATGGCATCTAGTTTTATCACTTCGTGGCAAACAGATGTGGAAAATGTGAAAATGGTGGCTGATTTCATCTTCCTGGGCTTCAAATCAATGTGGATGGTGACTGTAGCCAAGAAATTAAAAGACCCTTGGCTCCTTGGAAATTTTATGTTTTGATCAATGGAATATTTTACATTTCTGTTCTCTATTCCTAATGGTAAAATAAGGTCCATATAATGTAAAATCAGAAATAATGTTCTGATCTCTTCTCCTCTGGGCATCTTTTACATCTGTGCTTTCTCAAACTAGATGAGAGAGTAGAGCAGTTACTGTGGAAACATTCTACACAGGTTTTAAGTACTAAAGTCCTTACATAAAGGTAAAATGGAATATAAATAAAATGAATAAAAGCAAAATAGGAAGCTTTCCCCTCAGGACTGAGGCAAAAAACCTAATTCTTGAGTAGCAGATGGAGCAGATGGCTTGCATTTAGAGGCCATGTTGTACCAAAAAAACCCCCAAGAACCTTCAATATTGGAATCTCATTCAGCATGGTAAGATGTCATGTTATGGGAGGAACGTAGGACCTGAATTACTTCGAAGGGAGTCCCTGACACATCTGTTAGATATGGGGGAAATGTCAGGCATAATAAACACACACTTTCCTCCTTTCATGGTGTGTGTTTTAATCTTAAGTGTGAGAGTGTGTGTATAGCTGGCTTCTTTTCATCAAAGGTGCACTGGGGCTGCACATTCCTGTGACCTTCTGCTGGGCCCTGTGCTCGTCCTCCTTGAATACCGAAGGGGCTAAGGAAGGGTTCCTGCCAGATGGTTGGCAGTGGTGTGTGCTCTTAGTATGCTGAGCTGGAACTCACCTAAAATTTCCAATCTGTTCATAAATTCTTACATTTAGTGTGCCAAAAATATATCTCTAACTTGAATCTATATTCATGTAATTAGATTTAATATGTATTAAGATGAATGGAAATCATCCCCCACCCCTTTTCTCCAGACTTCTACCATCAATCAAGGAAGAGAGACAGACAGGAAAAAGAAAAAACTAGAAAGAAATGAGCTGTGATATGAGAGATTTCCATTGAAAGGCATAGTTTTAGAGCAGGAAGTGACCCAAACTAAGTGGTCTCCCCTTTTTGCACAGACAAGAGTAGAAAGCCCTATAAGATAATTTTGAAGGGAAGAAGAGCTCTGATGATGCAATTTCAAAGACAATGACCTAAATAAAAGTGTTTTTCAGTGGAAAATTTCCATCACTAGTAGGTGGGTGTTGCTAGGCAACAAATATTGCAGTGTTTAATCTCAACCCTTCCTAGCAAATGGCATGATGGAATAAAATAAGCCTTTCAGCATGTCAACATAGCAACTGTATTTGGCAATTTTTCAGTCGTTTTTAAGAATATTTCTTTAATGCAGGAAGAACTTCTGTTAACATGTCTACCTCCATTTTATAAAAACTGGGTTCTATAATCCATAATGATTAATAGGAATGCACTAAAATTAGCACAAAATCAATTAGCAAAATGCATCCTTATAATAAATGCTGAGTGACCAAAAAACACATGTTGAATATCAAAACTTGAGTGTGCATGTGATTTACTAGGATCAATACTTAGAAAATGCATATGTAGGAATGTAAATTTCAAAGGAAAATACATTCCCTCAGAGATTAGTTAAGAAACAACTATGCATCTATAATTTTATAATCTGAAAAGACTTAGGTGAAGTTAAGACCTTGTACCCTTCAACACCTAAGCAAGTTCCAATTAAAATTAATGTCTTAATGTTATTCATATTGATATTGTTTGTTGTGTAACAGTGTGAACACAGGTGACGTTTAAAAAATTATTTGTTATTAATTTATTCTTTGGCTGTGCCGGGTCTCCGTCGCTGCACGGACTTCTCTCCAGCTGTGGAGGGGGCTGCTCTCTAGCGGTGCTTGGGTTCCTCGCTGTGGGGCTTTCCTTCTGTAGCAGGGCTCTGGGCGTGGGGGCTTCAGCACTTACGGCTCCCAGGCTCTAGCGCACAGGCTCATTAAGTTATGGTTCTGCAGCAGAGCTCTGGGCGTGGGGGCTTCAGCACTTACGGCTCCCAGGCTCTAGCGCACAGGCTCAGTAAGTTATGGTTCTGCAGCAGGGCTCTGGGCGTAGGGGCTTCAGCAGTTACGGCTCCCGGCTCTAGCGCACAGGCTCATTAAGTTATGGTTCTGCAGCAGGGCTCTGGGCGTGGGGGCTTCAGCACTTACGGCTCCCAGGCTCTAGCGCACAGGCTCAGTAGTTATGTTGCATAGGCTTAGTTGCTCAGCACCATGTGGGATCTTCTCAGATAAGGGATCCAACCCATGTCTCTTGCACTGGGAGGCAGATTCTTTACCACTGAGCCACCAGGGAAGCCCTCACAGATGACATATTTAAAGAAACTTGAAAGACAAGCATGAGCATTTTCAAGTTAACTTCCTGAGATAAAGAACTTGGAATTCTTGTGAGTCACTATGTTGTACCCCTGAAACTTTTATAACACTGTAAATCAACTATACCTCAATAAAAAATTTAAAAAAGTATATCAGATTCTGATAAAGAAGACTTAAGTTGAGATACGGGGGTCAGAAGATCTGGGTTCAAGCCTTGATTCTGTCCTTCATTAGGCACATGAAGTTGGCTAAGTCATTATACCTTTCTGGGCTTTATTTCCCTTACAGTTCTAAAATACTGTGCTGTGCTGTATGTTGAGCCAGGTCCGCCACTAACTAGCTTGGTGACTTTGACAAGTCACTTAACTTACCCTCCGGGTCACAGTTTACTCTCCTGAGAAGCGATGACAATTAATGGCGGGTACAGCAAAGCTTGAGTTGGCACTTATAATAAAATATGACTCAGACTGGTGTTCAGAGACAATAAACATTTTTTGTCATGAGAAAGAAAGAATATCAGCTAACATTTATTGGAAAAAAAAATTCCCTTATATGCATTAGATATTTCTGAAGTGTTTAAAGGCACTGTGCTTCTGGGTGACTGATACACATCCCAGTCTTCAAGAAGCTTGCATTTTAGGATAGTTATAAGGTGATTCAAATATTTATAATAGAAAACAAAATGTAAGTGCAACTCATAATAAAAGTACAAAGTACTATTAATATTCAGAGGAAGATGAATCAGAGTGGCATTAATAGATCTTGGAAGGACAGGTTGGATTTTAGCAAGCAGGCATTTACAGGAGATTCATTACTAAGGAGACAGATATTCTGAGCCAAAGAAAAGAGCTAAGTAGCCAGAGAAATGGAAAAGAACAAAAATATTGGGAAAAAGAGAGTATTTGGGGAATAGCTTAGAAAGAAGCTTACAACACAATGATCTGGAAGGCCCTGAATTGCTAGAGACTGGACGTCACTTGTAGGCAACGGGTAAACACTTTTCATATTTAAATCACACACACAAAAAGGTAAAGTGGAATTTTGTGAAAATATATATGATTGGAATATTTAGTAGAATAAAGATAAGAATGCCGAGAGAAAAAAAAATACTAAAAGGAGTTATGAATAATTTTAGTTACCCAAAGTATCGTAAAATGAAAAACAACTAGGTCAAAATGTCAATAGTGGGAAAATGACAGAAAATGATAATTAAAAAACAGTTAAGGAAACTCACAAGGCTTGGTGACATCCTGTGTGTTGGGTGAGGGAGAAGTTAAAACAGACAAGCTTTGAGCTTACAGTACTAGCAAAATTATCATTAACTGAATGTGTAAAGTCAGGAAGGAGTTTGCAGGAGGATGTGGGAGAGGAAAGTGTCCTCATTTTTCTGTTTGCTAACCACGTCCATCATCACCCTCATTGTGACATTCAAAATTAAAACAGGTTTTAAATCTGAGGTTTATCATCAAGGCTAGTGTAAAAAAGTCTTCCCTCAAACAACTGCAGAAACGTCTGCTAACCGTAAGTCTACAGATAGACCTTTCTATATGTGCTACATACCCCATCACTTTTCTCAGCTTCTAACCTCCTTTCCTAGCACGTCACCATTTACCAAACCCAACAAGTGTCCAAGCCTCACTTGTCAAGGCCTCCACCAGGCTCAAGACCATTCTTAAGAAGAGTTTATAGGCACCACTGACTACAGTGTACAGATATACCTATGCTGGCACTCTACAATTTAGTTACTAAAAATATTTCAGTGGAATGTTTTAGAGTTATTAGCGCATCACACACATTCACATTGGAAGGCTGGTGAGATGTCAAGAAGGCTTGACAAAAAAACCAGAAAAGATGTGTCATTTGCAGAGAAAGGCATGGCTCTGAGAGAATTCTATGGTAGAATATGGAGACGCTGAGATGAACACACTGCCACCAGAGAACCTACCTGGGCAAACTTGTGAATCTGTTCCACCACTGCAGCAAACAGAGCATGGACACTCTCATCAATCAGACTCTGCATGTAATGCACTGCCTCTTCGTCAGACAGGTCTAAACGAAACTTGTCCTGAACCTGTAAGGCCACAGTCTATTAGCTTTTGAATAAAGAAAAACATAACATTTCGAAGAGACAAGAACAAACGGATACAGATATTATTACAATGACTTATTTCTCCAGCAAAAAAAAGGTTCATAACCTATAAGGAGTTCTGAATACTAGTCTCCTGAATGTGGAACTTTACTTTTTGCTATATGCTCTTTATATCATCCTATCTTGGTTGGTTGTAAATTTTTTTTTTTCAGAAAAATATTAACAAAGTGAATAGACAATAATTCTGTTCAGCCCTGCAAAGTTAAAAACAGACAAAAAGTAAACTATAGATCTTCTAATGTCCCCTTTCCTATAGGAGTTCGTTATACTTCTGCAAAGAACTACTTCAATATGACCTATAATTTCTAAAGACTGATGACTTTTTCATTATTTCATATTAAAACATACAGTTGATTCTGAATAGCAATAAGAACTAGAAAGATGAGTAGAGATATATATATCAGAATAGTTCTCTAAAACACACAAGCAAATGTTACCAAATGACTGTGTGTTAGAGCTCAGTCGTATCTGTCTCTGCGACCCCATGGACTGTAGCTCACCAGGCTCCTCTGTCCACAGAATTCTCTAGGCGAGAATACTGGAGTGGGTGGCCATGCCCGACTACCTCATGCTAACACTGTGCAAAGCACCTTACGTGCAGTATTTCATTCTACTCTCCGATGGCTCTGAGGTAGATAATATCTCAATCTCTAAGACACAGAAACTGAGACAGAGAATTTAGGAAGCCAACCCAGGGACCTTTAACTGACGTTAAGAGGCTCACACTTCCAGACGATCTCAGTACGCACTGTGTTTACTCCTTTCTCCTCTTATAAACGATCCATATAAACTTCTGAAAAGACAGGCTAGAAGAAAATGGGGTTTCCAAGTGGATAAAAAGTGGTCCACATTTAGTATTTCCATTTAAGTATGGAATTTAACTACTAGAAAATCAGGAAGAAGAAAAGGCAGACAGTACTACAACCCATCACCGATGCAACGAACATGAACGTGAGCAAACTTCGGGAGATGGTGAGACAGGGAGGCCTGGCGTGCTGCAGTCCATGGGGTCACAAAGAGTCGGACACAGCTGGGCGACAGAACAATAACCACCACCACAACCACCACCACCCACGGCCCGCTCGGTGCTCTTCTCTCTACTGCACTGCAAGTGTACCGGGAGATCCGACAGCTCTGCGGCCTCAGGAGAGAGGCGGGAAAGGAGAGGGAGGGGGAGCAAGTGAAGGACAGCTGGATGGAGGGAGATCTAAAAGCATACCTTCAATCAACTCTCTCTCTCACTTCTGGATCCCAGTTAAAGAATTTATTCCATTGTACTCCTTGATTTCTACCTAGGGAGGTCATGTCTGAGAATTTTGAAAACTATTTTTTTAAGGACGTCAAAAACACTATAGGGCAGGAGAATCAAAACAAACCTTTAACCCAGTTTGCCAAAGCCTGCATACTTATATAAGTGCTTAAATTACAAACAGAAGATATGTATTTAGCATATAAAGAAAATGTTATTCACAGAATATGAAGACATTCTTTTTTATAAGAAGATTAACAGCATAAAAATGGTAGATTTGTTATCATACATACTGACTTCTGCTAGGCTACTTATTACTCTACCCCTGTCCTTTTAGCTCTGTTCCTTTCACCCTTCTATAATTTCTCCTCGGAATTTCCTGGGTATCTCTATCAGCTCCAAACTGTCCTTTTCACCTCGTTAGCTAAGGCTGCACTCCAATCAATCTGCAGTGTCTTTTTTTTTTTAAAAAGAGAACGACTATAGGACATTTTATTATTATTTGTAAATTTTGTGCTACATGTCCCTTATATTAATGCAAATTAAAATGAACTTAGAGACAGTATTTTTTAAGAGCCAGTAGTTGAACATCTGTCAACACTTCACTGGAGCAGCACCCTTGGAATTCTTGGGAAACTGGAAACCCAGATAAGACATATTACTTATCAAGCAAAAGGATGTAAACTCGTAAATCTCAGTCTCTGCACTGTCTTTCAAAAGTAGATAAAATACCCTTTGTTTGAAATATCGTTGAGTATTACCAAAATGTGACACAAATTGAATGAATGTTGGAAAAATGGCACCAGCAGACTTGCTCAACACAGAGTTTCTACAACCTTCCAAATCTGTAAGGAACGCAGTTATCTATGAAGCACAATAAAATGAGTAGTCAGTTTCAAAAAATTAAAAAGAAACTGAGAAAGACGTACTAAAATATGCTATGGAAAAAAGGAAAATATTGTAGAACTTTGCCATGATTAAATATTTTGAAGATATGCCATAAAGATAGCTGGTAACCAAAGTTTAAACAATAAAATCATGATTTTCTAAAAGGAAAAGTTGAAACAAAAGATCCAATAAGAACAAAAACCACATACTGGAAGAAGAAACAAAAAGATTCCATTTGACAACTACCATTAGAACTTTCATAAATGAGTTCTGAACATAAGTGAAGTCAGGCAAGAGTGAACATATGACAGAGATAAATGGGTTTAAAATAAACAGCAACAACAGATCCTAAAAATAGCAACACACACATAGGCACACAAAAGCAATAACATTTTAAATCTGGTGCAGTCATCCGTTTTGAAATTTTCGTCAACTACTTATGCTTCTTGATGAATGAGCTTAAGTTGAAAAAAATTACCCACATCAAAACCTAGTGTGATAAGTAGTCCATTTCTTAGTTTGGCCAGGGTGGGGAGTTTTGAAACAGTGCTTCCTAGAAAATAATAAATGAAATCCTAAAAGAGCGTAATTTTCTTAAATGTTAAACAATAAGATTTACATTAAAATCCCTCTAACTGCCAAAGACTCATAAAATTAAGTAAAAGAGATTAGCTTAATTCATGTTTGAAATTATGTAAATATTCTTGTACCTTCCAAATCCATATTGAAATACTAATGCCCAATGTGACGGCATCAGTAAGTGGACCTTTTGAAAGGTACTTAGATTGTGAGGGTGGAGCCCTCATGTGCTCTTATATAAGTGCTCTTATAAAGAGACACCAAAGAGCTTCCTGGGGCCTTCCACCCTAGGAAGTGCCCTTTGACCCCAAAGGGGCTTTAACTTGACCATTCTGGCACCCTGGACTAGTATTTAGAGCTTCCAGAAGCATAAGAAATGAGTTTCTGTTGTTTACAAGCTACCTAGTGTCTGGTATTTTGTTACATTGATATATGTAGCAGCCCAAATGGACCAAGACAATGTTCAACCTACAGAGGTATGTTTCTAATAATGCTGAGTCAGTTACATCAGAACTTAGGGCTTTTGGTAAGAAATATTATTTATAACCAACAGAGAAATTCCATCTTACAATTTTAGTAGTTTTATACTTCTATAAGTTAAAAAGCTATGCTATCTTTGAAGCTCATTATTAAAAAGCTCTCTGATATTTAAGATCATTTTATGTTATCTTTGGATAAATAAAATGTGTTATATACACCCTCCTCAATAGCTCAGCTGGTAAAGAATATGCCTGCTATGTAAGAGACCCAGGTTCAATCCTTGGGTTGGGACGATCCCCTGGAGAAGGGAAAGGCTAACCACTCCAGTATTCTGGCCTGGAGAATTCCAAGGACTCTATAGTCCATGGGGTCACAAGGAGTTGGACGCGACTGAGCGACTTTCATTTTCAGTGAATCAGAGCCAGAAATTAATTTGAATTAAAAAAAAACCTTCAAATTTATTACTCCTTTCTCCCATCTCTCACTGTATCTCAGGGTAAGATAGTTCTGAATAATTGATCATCTATGTGACAGTTTTCTTTCATGCTTCTCTCTGCAGGTTAAGTTAAAAGCTGGTCTCTACTCTCCTGACACAATAAGAAACCCCTGTAACCAAGGGTATGAATGGGAAAGAGAAAGAGCAACTGTTTTCTTCTATATACTATTATAATATTTTGTTTCTGATTCTTAGCATGCTTGGTCTGGGAGTACCAGGAATCAGGTATCTTAGCAGGAATATTAAAGAGAAGCTAAACTTTTTCGGACAAAGAGTAAGGGTAATGATAGTAAGCTTCCTCTCTTGATATAGTGAGCCACTCATGTGACTGTGAGCATGAACAGGGAAGGGGATAAAACTAGTTGCAGAGGGCTTGAGAGGCTGCCGTATTCTGAAATGTGAAAAAGAAATATACACAAGGTCTCTTCCTTAATTTACATTACTTAAGAGTCTAGGGGTTGGGACAAGGGGAAATGGGTTGTTAAAACCCTGATACTTCTTAAGTATGAAAAGTAGACTATAATATCTGAGGGTATATGAATATTACCTTTTTCACAGTTTTATCAGGTTCAAGAGCAATATCTGGAATGTTTGCATCCACCATCAAGGAAAACAAATTCAAAATAAGATTAGAATACCTAAAGGAGAATGGGAAATAAAAATAAACAGCAATGTGTTAGAATTTTGCCATTCTTTCTCATATTAAGAGCACTCCTACAAGTAATGATACTTAGATTTTTATGATTACTATTACTCCTATATAAAATAGAATGTAAGCTTATTCACCAGTTGTCTCAATGAAAAGCAAGGCTTGAAAATACACCTTATTCTAGGGCCTTGATATAATACAACTTCTAGGTCTCCCAATAGGGAACACACCTTTGGAGTAACCATCTAATAATGACATTTTTTTCATTTTTTAGTAAGTATATTCTTTTCAGAAGGGATCTAAGGGGAGATCTGCTTTATACCATTAATTACACTTTACTAAGGAATGAAGATCTGTCTTTGCTCAATGAAGACAAGAATCTGCTGCCTTAAGGCTACCTCAGCGTGTCATGGGTAATGAGTGAAGGGGTAACGTGACTCCATCTGCTATCTTAAGGCTACCTTGGTGTGTCATGGGTAATGAGTGAAAGGAAATAGTGTGACTCCATTCATGAGTCATAAGTATCCTCCAGGGACACTAATCCCACCGTCTTAGAAAATACAGTGACTGGTCTGGTTATAAGCTTCCTAAATGGAGGAGAAAATAGCTCATACTCTTCTACACTAAAAATATACAAGATATCTAAATCATTTCACCTTTGGAGTATGTGGACCCCTGTAGGAACTAAAGGTTTATCCTTATCAGTGCTCGAACTTTTCATCTTCCTCTAAACAAAGAGAAAGTATGTTGCCATTCCAAATGCTCACTACTAGCGGTGGAGCTGTGTGGGGAAAGGTGTCAGGAAGTGTCCACTGGGCACAGGCCACCTCCTGCTCAGAACACTCTCCTCTTGGACAGTTGCGCCCTGAGTGGAAATGCAGCACTGTAGTGATAAAAGGAGGCCCAGATCTGACTTTGGGGATGGATATGAGTAAAAAATTTGGTTTTAGACAATGAAGGTTTTTCCTGGTCTTGGTAGAAAGTTCTGGATCTGTTCCCCCTAAACTGAAACCATGGGGTTGCAAAGAGTTGGACACTACTAAGAGACTAACCTATACACATGCTGTGCTTTGGTTAGTCACTCAGTCATGTCCAATTCTTTGCGACCACATTGTCCACCAGGTTCCTCTGTCCATGGGATTCTCCAGACAAGATTATTGGAGTGGGTTGCCAGTTCCTTCTCCAAGGGATCTTCCTGGCCCAGGAACCGAACCTGGGTCTCCCACATTGCAGGCAGATTCTTTACCATCGGAGCTACCTGGAAACCCACATACACACACACACGTCGGAGAAGGCAATGGCACCCCACTCCAGTACTCTTGCTTGGAAAATCCCACGGATGGAGGAGCCTGGTAGGCTGCAGTCCATGGGGTCGCGAAGAGTCGGGCACGACTGAGCGACTTCACTTTCACTTTTCACTTTTATGCTTTCGAGAAGGAAACGGCAACCCACTCCAGTGTTCTTGCCTGGAGAATCCCAGGGATGGGGTCACACAGTCGGACACGACTGGAGTGACTTAGCAGTAGCATATGTAAATATATATATATACACACACACATATATAACATATATATAGCATATATAAACATATATATATGTATACACACACACACACACACACACACACACATAAAGTCGTGGTCAACTGTGTCAAAGCTTCAAAAAAGCAAACGTGGCCACTGGATTTGCTATAGGTAACTTTATTTTGATAAAATTATTTTCAATAGCAGAGCAGGACTGGAAGACTTACTGGCGAAGGCTGAGGAAGACAGGAGGCAAGTAAGTGGAGACAGTGAGAACTTTAAAAATAGATATACTGAGAAGGAGAGTGAAGAAGCGGGGCAGCAGTACAACGTTAGCAATACCCTGGTCTTCTTGCCACTACTAGTGGAAACCAGTGGCAATCACCTAGCTGTGGCAGTTAAGAGGGATTACAGTTTGCGGCTGTAAAGTTCAATGGGGTAAGGAGGAAAGTGAGAATTAAGGTATATTATATACAGTGGTAGGGTAATGAGACTGAAGTTGAAGACATGGAGGAATGAAAAGAGCTGTAAGGATAGATGGTATGCTGGTCAGACAGTGAAAAGCACTGGATCAAGATTTTGAAGGGCTATCTTGACTCTTAATGAGAGGGAGTGGCCAAGGTTGGCTTTACAAGAGAACAAGGCCCCGTGAGGCCAGGTCACAGGTGGACCATTCATGCAGATGTTGAAGTCACAGCCGCAGGCCTGAATAAGACAACAATGAAAGTTTTCAGTGGAGGAGAATGACAGGGAAATAGGCAGTTGATGGTCAGCAGTAAGTAATTTAGCTGGTTTCATGGCATGCCATCTATGCTTTTGTTAAGAAGGCCAGCAAAGAAAGGTTCAGAAACGGCATTTTGGAGCAGGAAGACACCAAGAGCTTTAGGCTCTGTGGTTTGCAGGAAATGGATACAGCAGAGGGTCCATGGAGAAGACTGTAAGGACTGCAAGGCACCAGGATCTTCTTTAAGCTCTGCGGTTTGTAGGAAAGGGGTACAGAAGAGGGTCCATGGAGAAGGCTGTAAGGACTGCGGTGTCAGTAGGATAAAACTGCTACGCATTAGGTTATGAAAACAATGATACTCTTTCAGTGAATCCTTAATAATTCATGCTCTGCTTTGTTGACTATATAGGACTTTCCCCAGTCTTGCCATAGGGGAATCAGGAATCTACCACAGGGTAACTCAAGGAGAGGAATGCAAGGCTCAGTTCTGAAAGATATTTCAGAGGTTCTCAAACCTGGCTGCCCATTAAATTCACCTGGGAAGTTTCTTTAAAAATACTAATGCCTGGGCCAAATCCCAGGCTGACTGAACCTGATGGGCTGCAACTGTTTTGGTCTCCCCTCCCCAAGAAAGATCCCTGGTTATTCTTATGCACAACCAGGATATATGTTAAAATGTTTGCCTTTATTATAGTCCAATGTGTGTTCCTTTTGTAAAAGGCACATATTAATGTTTCTGGATTATCTGTTGGTATAAATGTAACTGGGCTTCCCAGGTGCTCAGTGGTAAAGAATCTGCCTGCCAGTACAGGAGACGCAAGAGATGTGCATTCAATCCCTGGGTCAGGAAAAACCCTGGAGTAGGAAATGGCGAGCCACTCCAGTATTCTTGCCTAGAAAATTCTATGGACAGAGGAGCCTGATGGGCTACAGTCATGGGATTGCAAAGAGTCGGACAGGACTGAACACACACATACATAGAGAAATGAAACCACCCATGCTCCTATTATTATGGCAAAGGGAAACAATTTAAATAAATATAAAATGGATTATTTTCTAAGAAGCTTAAACATCCAATTACTTTGTGGATTATTTGTCACTACATTTCAACTGTATTAATCTTTTACATCTATTGCCATTAACCTACATTTTATATTTAAAACAGAACCACTGACACCAAACAGAAATTAAACATTAGTTATTCAAATCCTATCCAGAAAAACAGATTTAAGGTTACTACAAATCTTTAAAGCATTATCAAATGAAAATATAAGGTTAAGGTTAAAAAATGAGAGTGAGAAAAATGCAAAACCAAGTCTAGACAAAGATGTAACGATGGATGTGATATAAAGAAGATTTTGATAAAGGAGCAGGTTAAGCACAGTGTTCAAGGAAAACATACTCTTTCTCTTACCCATGTTTATACCAATCATCAAGTTACTCATTGACTATACAAAGATGGTCTAGATTTTCCAGTAAAAATCTTCAATACTAAGAATAAAAATCATTAACTACATCAAGTGAGGTTCTTATAGCGTTTCAGAAGTCTGCTTCCCCTACAATTTATCCATTTTTCATGCAGTGGATATGAGAGTAGAATTCTATAAAAATATTTCTTTAATAAGTGTACCACTTCCAGGAGAGAGAAAAAAATGAGGTTAACAATGAAAAATAGTGTAATCCACAGATTCACTATTTGGTGACTTAAGACATCTTCTAAGACAGTGTGAGAACTTTGCTTGATATGAAAAATGCATTCCTAACTTCAGTATTTTTACTGAAAAGTTTAGGCTGTCTTTGTATCACCAGCATCTAGCATGGTATTTGGCATATACATGGATTATGAGAAGTTTATGTTTTCCTTCAATACTTAACATTTACATTATGTTTGAGCATTATTACTGCTGCCCTAAGAGTATTCAAAAACTAAAATTTCCAATTCATTATTGGTATAACAATGCATTTTGTTACATGAAAATCACACCATAAAATGTGTTCTGGCATCTGTATAACTATAACCATTCATAACTTAGTTCAAATGAGATTGCTTGGTTTATGCGGTCCATAATTTACTCAATGATTTCTTATTGATTAGCAATCAACAAAAACCATGAAAAGAACAAGAACAAGGTTGACGCCCTAATAATAAGTGTATCAAATATTCTGTAAAGAAACTTTTGGCTATCTGGCTAATTCTTATATCCTGAAGGAAATTTTTACTAACAGAAGCATATTCTAAAATACAACATTAAAAAATAAATGTTGACAAAAATATTAAGGCCCAGCTAATTTTAACAGTGAAATTCCTGAAAATAAAAAAAATTAAAACTATGTTCATGAAGACTTAACATAAAGTCTTCAGATTAGTCTTCATGATTTTTCTTAGTAGTGAGAAAGTTAACTTTGGCTCTGCACAAACAATACGCCTCTATCTTCTCATTTTGCTGAATTGCTACTAATCCATTATCAATGAGAGTTTATAAAGCTCGTTTTCTTTCTGCTTTCAATAAGGTAGAGCACCTTTGACACTTCTCTAGTTATCATTTCATATTATCTTGTCTGTCTCCTCACTGAGATTGCCAAACTTTCATCTAGCTATGCCTATTTTAAATTAAAAATTCCAGGTATTAAAGTAGAACTTTCATTTCTGAAAGTGCTTCTGCATCATCAGGCACTGATCTTCTCATTATTCTTTCAGCATTTCTAGAAAGCAAAACTGAGCCACTATCCCACCCAAAGGGTAATAACGTGGCTGTCTGTAAAACGCACACTAAAATCTGTAACGGCAGGAGAGCCTGAGTTAGTGGTGAAGGCCTAGTGAGCCACCGCAAAGATGAAACTCATTAATACAGGCCTGCCACTTGCCCGGGACCAGTAGTGTCAATATCACCCGGGAACATGGCTTCACCCAAGATATGAGGCAGGAATTTTCACACAAATATTGATGGTTTTTATTCAACACATATATTCTGAGTGTCCATAAACTGAAGTTACAAAGACAGAAAAGACAGCGCCCACATGCACAGGCAACTCATTTCTACTGGTTTTATGTTCACCTGGAAGAGAATACAGGTGGTCTCCTGAGCTGGGATTTTTCTGGTGGACTAAGAATATTCATTTTGCATTAATTAGGTTAAAAATGGATTCAGGGTCAAATGATCCATAATTTTTGACTAATCATCAGAGCCAAGTCCTGAATGTAACAAACATGACTTTTAATTTATCTTTTTCCTGATGATACATGATATTCAATCCTAAGTAAATTTGGATGAAGGAAGCAGAGACATAGTGGCCTTGGAAAAAAAAGAACAGAGAACAAAATCAATAGCCTTTTTTTTAAAGAAGAATGACTGATGTGGTACTAAAGAGAGACAAAACCATATGTAACATTTATTCAACTGTTTAACAGACCTCAGAATCCTCCTCAAGAACAACTAAAACTAAGGCTGATAAAGGTGTTAAAGAATAAAAATTATCTGACTAATTATTCCAAGTGAGCTAAATGGTTCATTCTTGTGTAATGCCAACCTCCCTGGGGTTTGGTGGGATTTAGCAGTCAGTTAATTAGTGAGAAAGCAAGAAATCGTCTTTTTCCTTTGAAATCAGACTGCTTATCAAAACAGTCATCAAATACACATTAACAAATGTTGCTGCCTATGTCATTCTGAGAAAGAATGATGCTAAAAAGTGTATTGCTGTCGTTTTAGTCTCTAAGTCATGTCCAACTCTTCTGCGACCCCATGGACCATAGCTTTCCAGGCTCCTCTGTCCATGGGATTTCCCAGGCAAGAATACTTCATTCTCCAGAGGTTCTTCCAAGCCCAGGGATTGAACCCACATCTCCTGCATTGGCAGGAGGATTCTTTACCACTGAACCACCAGGGAATACACTTAAACAAATATCTTTCTTGCTCTGTGAAAGGAATTTACCAAAATTCTCTATGTCAAGCATATCAACTTACCTTCGAAGGTGGAGAAAAGCTGTGTAACACTGTTTCCGGAACTCTTGGTACTGCTCACTCTGTGTGCCTCCCATTCCTTCTACCATTTCTTTATTCAGCTTCATTGGAGGAGGAAGAGGCTTTGGGTCCCGACCCAAAATATATCCAAAGTCTATGTGGAAGAGTTTGCCTGGATGTTGATAAGAAACTCATTTGTTTCCAGAATCATATGTATCTTACAATTGGTAAAGCAATGTCTCTTCATAAAGAATATTAGTTCAGGATGAAGTCCATTAAATTGATACTGTAACTCCATACTTAGAAGTAGCCTTCAGAGCAATTTTAGCTCCTTGCAGCTCACATTCATTCAGATGAAACTATACTTAAAATACCAGGGTAATACTTTAAAATTAAAATCTTACTTTTAGATCTCCAGAATCAAAAATGGCTAAAGCCTGGACAACTGTCAAAAGTATTAGTAGAAATTAATATACTGTAGCAAATTTCTTATGCTAAAGGAGGATCATTTTTTTAAGTATTCTTGAGATAAATCGTTCCCTTTAAGTTATCACTATTCTCCCGATCATCAAAAATATCTCCCAAATTTCAAATTATACTGTTAGCTTTATTTGAACCATTTACAATTAACTGTGTCACTTATTAGCTGCAAACTAGGAAACCACATAGTATTCACTTCTGTCAAGGGCTGAACACAGCTAAAGTGCCCATGAAGAGAAACCCTTGAGCAGTCATATAAACTCATAGGTCAGATATTTAAGAACGTCACTGATGATTCACTTTGGATAATAATTCACCACTGAATTCATAAACCATCTTTAATTTACAAGTAGGTCTAAGTAGACACATTAAAAAACTAAAAGTAACCCCTAGGATTCTACAATCTAAGTAACTACTAAGGCAGGGATTTAGGCCTGTTCTGTATGTTGCTGTTTCCCCAACCTCAGAATAGTTTCTAGCATAGAGTAAGCACTCAGTGTTGAATGAAGACACTGATTCATTTAAAAAGCCAACTGAAAACCTCCCTAGTGCAACGTGCCCACTTTTATTTATCCTGTAATGCATTCTGACCTGTTTTATGTGGAAACCTTTCTTCCATCATGCATTTGAGAAAGTCAGATTTCTTTCCCTCAATGGCACAAGCCAAAAACTTTCCTTCTTGAGATGCATGTAATGAATTTTACATACTTCAGCCATCTTGAAAAATATTTTTAGATAGTGATTCTATCCAGTTAAAATGTTAAGCTTACCCTTCTGTCTATTGCCTTTCCCTGAGCATTGTCGCTATTATCTGAGAACTTTATACACAGTCATTAGATCACTGTTGGAAACATAAAGATGGGCACAGAACTGACACAAGCTGTGGTAACAAACTCAGGAAACAGTGATCCCCTGGCAGGCCCTCCGAGCCAGGGTATACAGGCCCTTTAGTAAAACACTTCACATCTCCCTTGATCCTGTACGTGACCCTGATAAAGTTGCTTACTTAACCTTTCTAAGCCTTACATTCTAGCCTACAAAACAGGTTAACACTAATAATTATCTCCTGGCAGAATGAAAAGAGATAATATAGCTAATACTTAACACAGTACTTGATACACAGTCATCACTCTAAATTTTAAATACTGAATTTTGTTCAAAAATAAACATTAATATTTATTTTTATTAGTATATAATTAATATATTTTAAAGACGTTTAGAATGTCCCTGAGACCTGATATCACAACTGCCAGCAATTAGTATAAGTGAAAGAAAAGTGAAGTCGCTCAGTTGTGTCCAATTCTTTGCGAGCCCATGGACTGTAGACCACCAGGCTCCTCCATCCATGGAATTTTCTAGGCAAGAGTACTGGAGTGGGATCCAGTGGGATCCGTTTCCTTCTCCAGGGGATCTTCCCAACCTAGGGATCAAACCTGGGTCTCCTGCATTGCAGGCAGATGCTTTCCATCTGAGCCACCAAAGGGTAAGCAATCTTATTTTCTGCAACTCTTTTGGGCATCTTTCTTACAAGGAAAAACTAAATAATACATTAAACTAGAATATAACATTATTCTAGTTTATCAGTTTAATAGTGGATACTACTACTACTAAATAAATAATAGTTTAATAATACATTAAACTAAATAATACATTAAACTCTGAAAAGGAGAAAGAACTTCAAAGCTGCCAACACAAGGTAATAAAAAAGTTCAAATTTTAGGCAATAATAATATTAAATTTAAGTAAAGTTCAAGATAGATACTAGCACTATTTTCCCAAAACACTAAAGAAAACTATACTGCATATTATTTGGAATTGACTGAAGCTATACTAAATATGGGGCCTGGAGTTCATAGGCAAAAAGAAACAACAGCTTAAAAATGAACGCTCATAGTGACAAGTAACCAGAGATTTAAGCATTATCATACCATGGCTATCGAAAGAGTAGTCACTGGCCAGGAAGAAATTATCTTCTATTTTCCTAGGTTCTCTGGCTGGTCTAAGACTTATAATGATATGAGGCATGTTAAGAGGTGAAAGGAGCTTCACAGGTGGTGCAGTGGGAAGAATCTGCCTGCCAATGCAGGAGACACAAGAGACACGGGCTCGATCCCCAGGTCAGAAAGATGTCCTGAAGTAGGAAATGGCAACTGCTTCAGTATCCTTGCTTGGAAAATATCATGGACAGAGGAGCCTGCTGGGCTACACAGTCCATGAGGTCACAGAGTCAGGCATCACTGAGCATGTGCACACACACACACACACACACACATGAAAGGGATCCAGAAAAACTAAGCAACTCCCCCAAATGGATGAAACCCTCACCCTAAATACCATCTTCAGCTAAAGACAAAGGAGGATGTTGGGATAGGGTTGACACTTCAGATGTGAGGAAGGCATGGAAACGGAAAAGCAAATGTTAGGAAAACAAATGTTTGCTAGGCCTTGCAGAGACAACGGGACACAGAGTGGACTCTAAATCTCCAAGAGTTTCACCCATCACACCTAACTGTATTCTTTGCAGATATTTCTGGTGAATGGTCTATTCTTGGTATAGGCACTGTATCTAAATTTTCAGGGAGTTAGGGGTAAGGTCAAACATGCTTCCAGGGGCTTTTAGGAATTCACTGTTTTCAGCTTGAAATGCCAGAAACATTTTGGGGTGGCAAATCTGGTTTCCCTGTGCTAACATTAATGTAACTGTTGCATTAAAAACCAATTTTTCCATTTATCGAAATTATCTCATTATAAATATTCTGTTAAAATCAGAGGGATAGTTAAAGTCTTATAGAGGAGGCACAACTTTTCACTCTAAAATACCTTTTTGGCATGAAGATTATTTTTGAGCTGAAACCAGTCAAAGCTCAAAAGGAAGAAACTTCCTTTGACCGTCCCCAAAGCTGCCTAAAAAAAATGTTAGTTAGAGGATCTGTTCCAGGAAGGGACCTATTCACCACAGATTAATCACAGTATGAATTATGTGCCTAGACAGGGAGGAACGTGGTGAAATTTGTTAAAAATTCCTCTTTGTGTCCCATTCATTGCCTCTGCGTGGCATTAGCACATATTTATTTACCAAACATTTGCTTTTCTACCTCCATGTCAATTGTCTTCCTCCCCTTTGATATCTCAAACCACTATCCCCAACATCCTCTTTTGTCTTTAGCTGAGGATGGCATTTAGGGTGAGGACCTCAGTCATTTTGGTGAGTTATTCACAGTTTTTCTGGGTCTCTCCCATATACACATTAGTAAACTTTAGTTTTTCTTCTATAACTCTGTCAATAATCCCATGTCATTTTAGTTCTTAAACCAACCAGAAGAAACTAGGAGGGCAGAGAAAATTTTCTTCCTTCCCAAGAGTCTGTATGACAAAAACCACTACAATATTGTAATTAGCCTCCAACGAATAAAAATGAAAAAAAAAAGAATTTTTTAAATGACTGTTTCTAGTATAGTAAATGGTAAATGGTGGAGGTGAGATGAGAAGGAATTCTAACTAGATATAGATAGCAAGATAGCAAGAAGCCTGTAGAGAACCAAAAGTGGTTTTGTCTCTCCACCCCAACAAACAAAGGCAATTATAGGTTAGCAAAATGTTTTCTATTAGTTTCACCAGTCTTGTCTAAATCAGCATGCATTTGGTAAGCTCCTACCTTACCTATCTCTATCAAAACACTTTAGGCTGAGGTGTATACTGAAGTTATTTGTTCACTCATCCTTCTAACAACACTCAACTTTTAATGAACCATTAAGAGTGTTACAATCAAGAACCTTGTTTCATTCATTTTTACTATAATCATGAAACCTAGGGTAATATCTAGCACACAGGAGCATACAATGTGGCTATTTTCATTTATTTTAACTGACATCTCAATTTCACATTTAGAGCTTAGGCAACTTTTAAAAAAGGTACTGATGTGAGACATTTCCTTCTAGAAACCCAAGAGCCCTTACAGAAGTTGATGACTTGGGTCTTCATTTCCGTGAGGATCTGTATTGGAATTAAGGAAGGCAGAGTCTGGATCACCTGGTGCTACCTTGTGACTTAATACCGTCCTATGATTTCAGTGTTTTTGACTGAGTTGGTATCAAACAGCAAGAGTACTTTAATTGTTGCAGGCTAATACAACAGAAGCAGAGTACCCTGAAAACTGTATTACAGCCCCTGAGTAAACAGAGGTTATGAAGCAGTTTTGACAAAACATGATTCTTTGGAGGAGGGAATGGCAAACCGCCCCAGTATACTTGCCATGAGAAACTCACGAACTGTATAAAAGGCTAAGAAGATATGACACCAAAAGGTGAGTCTCCCAGGTCAGAAGGTGTCCAGTATGTTACCGGGGAAGGGCCAAGGAGAAGTACCAACAGCCCCGGAAGGAATGAAGTGGCTGGGCAAAAGCAGAGATGACACTCAGCTGTGGATGTGTCTGGTGATGAAAGTAAAACCCGATGCTGCAAAGAACAGTATTGTATAGGAATCTGGAATAGGTCCATGAATTAAGGGAAACTGGACATGGTCAACCAGGAGATGGTAAGAATAAACACCGATATCATAGGAATCAGAGAACTAAAATGGATGGGAATGGGAGAATTTAATTCACATGACCATCATATCTACTACTATGGGTAAGAATCCTGTAGAAGAAACGGAGTAGCCCTCATAGTCAACAAAAAAGTCTGAAATGCAGCA